ATGTAAACCTATCTAATGGGATGGAAACGTTCATATTATTGAGGAACTAAACACTTTTGGAGACATTTTTGTTTAATATTGGCATCATGTAGAACTGTTATTCATAAGCAAGATGGTTTGCATGCGCCTAAAGATACAGTATACCTGTGTTGTTACACAACCTATTGTGCATGAACATAAAGTAGGGTTTTACATGTGTTTTGCATAATAGTTTGACATATGAGGCTACAAAGGTGTGGCTTTGGGTGTGGAGAACCATTGATACAGTGAGGGAAAAAAGTATTTGATCCCCTGCTGATTTTGTACGTTTGCCCACTGACAAAGAAATGATCAGTCTATAATTTTAATGGTAGGTTTATTTGAACAGTGAGAGACAGAATAACAACAAAAAAATCCAGAAAAACGCATGTCAAAAATGTTATGAATTGATTTGCATTTTAATGAGGGAAATAAGTATTTGACCCCCTCTCAATCAGAAAGATTTCTGGCTCTCAGGTGTCTTTTATACAGGTAACGAGCTGAGATTAGGAGCACACTCTTAAAGGGAGTGCTCCTAATCTCAGCTTGTTACCTGTATAAAAGACACCTGTCCACAGAAGCAATCAATCAATCAGATTCCAAGACCAAAGAGCTCTCCAAGGATGTCAGGGACAAGATTGTAGACCTACACAAGGCTGGAATGGGCTACAAGACCATCGCCAAGGAGCTTGGTGAGAAGGTGACAACAGTTGATGCGATTATTTGCAAATGGAAGAAACACAAAAGACCTGTCAATCTCCCTCGGCCTGGGGTTCCATGCAAGCTCTCACCTCGTGGAGTTGCAATGATCATGAGAATGGTGAGGAATCAGCCCAGAACTACACGGGAGGATCTTGTCAATGATCTCAAGGCAGCTGGGACCATAGTCACCAAGAAAACAATTGGTAACACACTACGGCGTGAAGGACTGAAATCCTGCAGCACCCGCAAGGTCCCCCTGCTCAAGAAAGCACATATACAGGCCCGTCTGAAGTTTGCCAATGAACATCTGAATGATTCAGAGGAGAACTGGGTGAAAGTGTTGTGGTCAGATGAGACCAAAATTGAGCTCTTTAGCATCAACTCAACTCGCCGTGTTTGGAGGAGGAGGAATGCTGCCTATGACCCCAAGAACACCATCCCCACCGTCAAACATGGAGTTGGAAAGATTATGCTTTGGGGGTGTTTTTCTGCTAAGGGGACAGGACAACTTCACCGCATCAAAGGGACGATGGACGGGGCCATGTACCATCAAATCTTGGGTGAGAACCTCCTTCCCTCAGCCAGGGCATTGAAAATGGGTCGTGGATGGGTATTCCAGCATGACAATGACCCAAAACACACGGCCAAGGCAACAAAGGAGTGGCTCAAGAGGACGCACATTAAGGTCCTGGAGTGGCCTAGTCAGTCTCCAGACCTTAATTCCGTAGAAAATCTGTGGAGGGAGCTGAAGGTTCGAGTTGCCAAACGTCAGCCTCGAAACCTTAATGACTTGGAGAAGATCTGCAAAGAGGAGTGGGACAAAATCCCTCCTGAGATGTGTGCAAACCTGGTGGCCAACTACAAGAAACGTCTGACATCTGATTGCCAACAAGGGTTTTGCCACCAAGTACTAAGTCATGTTTTGCAGAGGGGTCAAATACTTATTTCCCTCATTAAAATGCAAATCAATTTATAACATTTTTTGTTGTTATTCTGTCTCTCACTGTTCAAATAAACCTACCATTAAAATTATAGACTGATCATTTCTTTGTCAGTGGGCAAACGTACAAAATCAGCAGGGGATCAAATACTTTTTTCCCCTCACTGTATATGGTTGTAACACCTGCCTAGGAATATCAACACTAAGGTTAGGATTATGTTTTGACATAAATAGGCTACAGTATCGCTTCATGTTTCCCCTAATGTCTTTCTCTCACTGCTGATTGTGGCCAATCCCCAAACTATTTTTCAATTAAATACTGGTTGAGTGTATCCTGAATACAAGTTCTAGGAAACAAGCTCTTCAAGTGGAAGTCAATGGAACTGGATCTGTGAAGGACTCACGCTTGTCAAGTTGATTTCTAAATTCACCTTATGATAGAAAATTATTATTTTTAAATAACAAAAAAATGGTAAAGTGGTTGTCCCACTGGCTATCATAAGGTGAATGCACCAATTTGTAAGCCGCTCTGGATAAGAGCGTCTGCTAAATGACGTAAATGTAAATGGCAGTGAGATTTAACCTGAGCAAATGTTGCCTATGTTATTGGTTCTTAAAATTGGCTGATCATTCTTGGACTGTGGAGAAAAACCCACTGCAAAGGAATGACAACACTATATACAGATATGTTCATATTTTATATATAGGTCTTTATATATAGAAATCTATGTATACAGCAATGCTTTCAGAGAGGAGAAAACAGAGACAGACGGTCCACAGGGTAGGTCAGTGATGGAACGATGCACACGTGATTGACAGAACAGAAGCACTGAGGATGATGGATGATGAAGAGCAGGCGAGTTGGTAGAAAAGAGAAACTAGCAGTCTGAAATCATCAATCAATCAACCTCATAACAGACATTGTCATATGGAATCCCTGCAACTCAATTGATTACAGCCCTGGCAGTCCCTTGCTGTTATTTACTAAATGAAATTACAAACTCGTGTAATATTACAATCATACTGTATTTGAATAGAATCTACCTATTTACATTACTTCATAACTAAATCTGTAGTCTGTGTGTAAAGGTTTTAAAAGTATGGTAGAGGACAAAAGTATCAGTCTATTCAAGTTTAGTGGTCCTCTGTTGAAATAGTGGTATAATATTTGCTGGTGTAGCAGAGTCCAACTGAATGACAAAAACATTCCTACAACATTTCTCTCCCTTCCCACAACCACCGACCCTACAGCAACATGACACAAGTTTGCATAGCCAACATGTGTTTATGTGTAATGACTGATTTTGTGTATTTCTATGTCGTACACCAATTGGTGCCTAGCCTGAATGGGCTTAGAAGACACGATATCAAGTATGTGTGCACAAAACAACATTTTTACAGTAAACAAATTAAATGCATTTATCTAATAAATTAATTTTAAACCGAAACGGTCACCTAACAATTTGCACCAAAACAAAAAATAATATGAAATGGGTATAACACATCTTAAACAAAATGTCTCCTTTTGACATGGAAATAAACAACTAAAATGTCTCCCAAGTGGAGATGTGTTGAGGAGTCGATAGGTTATATTGGTTACCAACGTTAACCTTTGGCAGTTCGAATAACCTCTATGTATTTCTGACTTCCTGTTTGTTTGCTCTCCTATTGCTCAAATGGGAGGTCTATAACAATACCCTATAATGATTAAGTGATGGGACCATGTCTGTCAATGATGGACTTCAGTTAGTTCATAACCCTACATAATTACCTACAAGAACATTTCATGATTTACAACATAACCTCCTCTTAACAATGATAGCTTGTAACACAAACACCACAGGAGGCTGCTGAGGGGAGGACGGCTCATAATAATGTCCGAGACAGGAGCTAATGGAATGGCATCAAACGCATGGAAACCATGTGTTTGATACCATTCCAGCCTTTACCACAAGCCCATCCTCCCCAATTAAGGTGCCACCAACCGCCTGTGATATACAGACATACAACTGCTGCACCATCAACACAAACTGTAAGCTTGAAATAAGAGCTTCCTCTCAACAAATAAAGACGTTCAATCAAAGCTCTTCCTCGGGTGACTAGCTAGGGCCACGAGACAGACGTGACGTAGCAGCGTTTACCCTGATTACATAGGTCTATCTATGCTTTTACCACATTCCACTTGTCACTCAACACAGTGTAGAGAGGAGACTTAACATTTCTCTGTAGTCATTCATTGTCAGTTTACTTTAAACTAGAGGGGTTGGAGTTGAATTAAATAGCCCTAACCCACCTTTGGAATCACCCTCTCTTTTTAGGCAATAAGCACAACATCCTTCTAGATTAGTCTGCCTAACCACAAACATACACCCAAGGTGTAGAGCGGGGCTCTCGAACCCTGTTCCTGGAGAGCTAGCTTCCTGTAGGTTCTAACTCCAATCACAGTTGTACCTAACCTGGTTCAGCTTATCAACCAGCTAATTGTTAGAATCAAGTGTGCTAGATTAGGGTTGGAGCGAAAACTTACAGGAGGGTAGCCCTGCTGTAGACGAGCTAAACGAAAAGTCTAAATAATCAGTCACATATCATATTGCACAAACGATGCAAAAATACACATCCACACAATGTTTATAAAAGGTTATTCTCTAAGGGTTGTACAGCAACAAACATGTCCTACACAACACGCGCACACAGAAACAAGACAAAGAAACATAACACATCCATCTTCTGCTTGTGTCTGTGAACGTTATTACTACACCAATAAAAGGCCTTTTAGGCTTACAGTACGCTAACTTTTTTTGTGAACAATTGTTTTTCATTGCGTCACAAGGGCACAGTACGATAACTTAAGACTTAAGCCTTTCCCCTCCCTCCCCTTTAACCGTGACACGTTTGCCCACTAGTTCGACTTTGTTCGTGAAGGAAAAAGATAATGTGAAGTAAATAGCAGAATAAGAGGGTTCTCTTGGAGGTCAGGGTTCATAGTTCATTGGGGTAGCTGGTCGAGGTGTGTCAGGGTGTATGGAGAAATGGGCTTTGTGGTCCACAGCCACAGGCTTCAGGCCCAGTGTCCATGGTCATATACATTAGGGCACAACTTAGCAAAAGGTTTTGCAATGGGGGGAAATAAACAAGCATTTCTTATTGGACAAGGTCAGGTGGTACCTCCCCATTTCAGTAAATGTTCTTCCATTTGGTGCCTAATGAATACACCCCAGGTTCAGACCTTGGTTCTGGTCTAGGGATGGACCTTGAAGGCCAGCAGCTTCTCAGAGTGCATGTTATTGAGGGAGTGGAGGTCGGGCAGTCTGAGGAGCAGCTTGGTGAATATGGCTGACTCGTTGGGGTGGTTCTTAGTGATGAGGCCCCTCAGGTGCCGGATCAGAGTCTCCTGAAGAGCCTCCACAGAGTTCACGTTCTCAATCCCTGAGCGATCTAGAACACAAAAACCACAGTAGAACGTTATTAGACTTGGTTCCTATACTTTTCTCTGATCACCATGCATCCGGTATGTCTCTATGACAGGAAGCTCGATCAACTGATATGGATAGAATATGTTAATGAGGAAGGAAACACTCACTATAATACAATGCATGCTTTCAAACACAAAAAACATAGATAGCTACACTACTCTCTTGGTAAGAAGCCATACAGTACCATAACAACTCACAGTATTAAGTCGGTTTCTATAGGAACTATAAGAAAGTCTATATAAAGGGACAGGAAGTGCGAATCCCGTGATTGGGGTCACAAGGTCACAGGCAAGGGACAGGAAGTGCGAATCCCGTGATTGGGGTCACAAGGTCACAGGGCGTGAGCCTACCGGCAGAGATGAGGACGACGGCGGTGAACAGGCTCATCTCCTCCTCACTGAGGCCGAGCCCCATCAGCTTGTCGCTGAAGTCCATCATGGAGGTCAGGAAGTCGCCGGCGCCCATGGCTCGTAACGTCTCCACACTGTACTTGTTACCACCCAGGAACGTCACTGTGCTGTCTTTCACGTCAAACAGGGACGCAAAGCGCACCACTAGCACCTGGTGAAGTGACAGCAGACACTAGTTAAGTCTGGGTGGATCAACTGCATTTCGAAGATAGCCTTATCGGTTTGTTTTTTTCTACTGTTTTCATTCACGTGAGACAATGGATAAGGGGTAGAGAAGAGAACACAATACGAGTGAGTGTTCTGAGAGTGGTCTTTACCTCAAAGGTACCAGCCTTGAGCAGGTTGACCTGGTCGTGTTGGGAGAGGTCTCTGAAGCCTGGGATCCGCTTGGCAAACTCCACCACCTCCCTGACGGCCGGGGTGAAACTGTGGCTGAACTCCTCCCAGATCCCATGGCCTGACTTATGGGGGTTCACATGGGGAGACGTGTTCATGGGACACAGCTGAGGACGGAGAGAGAGGAGATGGACTTGGGTTAGAAGGAAGCACACGCAACATATCAGTCACATACTTATTAAAAATGGTGGACAAGGCGAGTTCCCCCAAATAAATGTGTTACGTTAACACAATCTAAAAGGTGTGAACACACCCCCTCTATAGATCAAGTGTGGTGTTCCACAGGGATCGAATCTTGGACTTCAATTATTTATAGTTTACATTGACGATCTGCCAAATGCATCAAACTGCTTTCTCAAGTGCTTTGAGAATAAAGTGTTATATAAATGTAGTTGATCATTAGATTCTATGATAGACAACATAAATATTATATTAACTATAATATATCATACCCTCCTTCTCCATCTGTCTATCTTGGACTCACCAGATGCATCCTGTTGCCCCCGCTCCACAGTGGTCCACTGAATCCTCCATGGGAGTTGGAGGTGGCCTGGCTAGTGCTGTTGTTGCCTCCTCTCAGGCCATTGTGGGCGTAGGCTGGGCAGTGGCCACTAGGGGAGCTGGTGGGCAGTCTGTCTCTGCTGTAGGGGCAGTGGTTCTGGCTGGGGGTGGTAGTGTGGTCCTCATGGCGATGGTAGCTGTCAGGGCCCTGAGGCCCAGTGTTGGTGGGCCTCTCCTGAGCCTGGTAATGGGCCTGAGTGGCTGTGAGAGGGACCAGGTCATTTTGGTTCTGGTTCTGCTGGTTCCAGGCCTCCTGCTGGTTCTGGTTCCTCTCCTCCATCCTCTTTCCAGTGTCACTGACATGTTGCTCCGCCCCTGGGGAGGTTAGCTGGGTGTCGGCCTGGGACTGGGGGGAGGGGCTACCTTGCTCCTGGTTGTACATAAAGGTCTCCTGGTGGGCCCGGGTCACCGAGCCAATCACATCCTCTGACACGCAGTCTGAAGCACTCGACGGAGACACTGAGTTAGGGCTGGGATTTGTATTCATGGCGACCGCAGGCTCGCGGTCAGAGCTGGTCTCCTCAGATTGGTTGGACCCGGGGGAAGCGGCGGGAGAGGTGGAGGAGGAAGAGGCGGAAGAGGCGGAGCCTAGGCCAGAGTCAACATATTGGGGGCGGGGCTCCATGGGGCAGGCTGGCACCTGAAGCTGATTTGCCAGGGGGAGGGGTGTGTTGCCGTGTAGCTGGCTGTTATTCATCATGTTGTTCATGGCACTCTGCATCTCTAGTAGCATGCGCTGCTTCTCACGCTTTGGGATGCGACCAAAACGCACAGCTAGGGAGGAGACAACATTTAGAAATGGTCTTTGCCAAAATATATGCTTGTCTACAGATTATCAAATACTGTAAATCCTTGTTTGAAATCTAACAAACCGACTTCTTTCTTCATCTACTTCTTTCTCAATCACATATTTATCTAACCCATGACAACCCACGATAACGGTAATATACCATGTATTATTGTGACTGGAGAGGGGATGTAGTTAAAGAAGGTAATAGAAACGTACAATCCTTGGACATGCCGACCAGCAGACACTTCTTGAAGCGACACTGCTGGCAGCGGTTCCTGTTGATCCTCATGATGGCACAGCTCTCGTTCTTCAGGCACTTCTTATACTGGATGTTCTGCTGGATGCTCCGACGGAAGAAACCCTAGAGACACACAGACAGACACACTGGTGAGTCAGAGTTTAGAGTCTAGAGTTATATCCGTGTTGGGGGGATTTTGCACTTTGTCCATTTGTATGCTGAAAATCTAGAATATATTTATTTATTTCTATGAATAATACATTATTTGATATCAAATTTGGCCATTAAAAAAATGAACCCCCTACAACAGAGTGCATGACGCCTCTCGGTTTTAGAGGTTGAAGAGGAGTTTTTTTTTTTTTATATTGCAGATAGGTTGTGGCTTCCATCAATGTAATGGTCTGCATCATTTCCAATCCCCCATACAGTGGGGGAAAAAAGTATTTAGTCAGCCACCAATTGTGCAAGTTCTCCCACTTAAAAAGATGAGAGAGGCCTGTAATTTTCATCATAGGTACACGTCAACTATGACAGACAAATTGAGGAAAAAAATCCAGAAAATCACATTGTAGGATTTTTAATGAATTTATTTGCAAATGATGGTGGAAAATAAGTATTTGGTCACCTACAAACAAGCAAGATGTCTGGCTCTCACAGACCTGTAACATCTTCTTTAACAGGCTCCTCTGTCCTCCACTCGTTACCTGTATTAATGGCACCTGTTTGAACTTGTTATCAGTATAAAAGACACCTGTCCACAATCTCAAACAGTCACACTCCAAACTCCACTATGGCCAAGACCAAAGAGCTGTCAAAGGACACCAGAAACAAAATTGTAGACCTGCACCAGGCTGGGAAGACAATCTGTAATAGGTAAGCAGCTTGGTTTGAAGAAATCAACTGTGGGAGCAATTATTAGGAAATGGAAGACATACAAGACCACTGATAATCTCCCTCGATCTGGGGCTCCACGCAAGATCTCACCCCATGGGGTCAAAATGATCACAAGAACGGTGAGCAAAAATCCCAGAACCACACGGGGGGGACCTAGTGAATGACCTGCAGAGAGCTGGGACCAAAGTAACAAAGCCTACCATCAGTAACACACTACGCCGCCAGGGACTCAAATCCTGCAGTGCCAGACATGTCCCCCTGCTTAAACCAGTACATGTCCAGGCCCGTCTGAAGTTTGCTAGAGTGCATTTGGATGATCCAGAAGAGGATTGGGAGAATGTCATATGGTCAGATGAAACCAAAATAGAACTTTTTGGTAAAAACTCAACTCGTCGTGTTTGGAGGACAAAGAATGCTGAGTTGCATCCAAAGAACACCATACCTACTGTGAAGCATGGGGGTGGAAACATCATGCTTTGGGGCTGTTTTTCTGCAAAGGGACCAGGACGACTGATCCGTGTAAAGGAAAGAATGAATTGGGACATGTATCGTGAGATTTTGAGTGAAAACCTCCTTCCATCAGCAAGGGCATTGAAGATGAAACATGGCTGGGTCTTTCAGCATGACAATTATCCCTAACACACCGCCCAGGCAACGAAGGAGTGGCTTCGTAAGAAGCATTTCAAGGTCCTGGAGTGGCCTAGCCAGTCTCCAGATCTCAACCCCATAGAAAATCTTTGGAGGGAGTTGAAAGTCCGTGTTGCCCAGCGACAGCCCCAAAACATCACTGCTCTAGAGGAGATCTGCATGGGGGAATGGGCCAAAATACCAGCAACAGTGTGTGAAAACCTTGTGAAGACTTACAGAAAACGTTTGACCTGTGTCATTGCCAACAAAGGGTATATAACAAAGTATTGAGAAACTTTTGTTATTGACCAAATACTTATTTTCCACCATAATTTGCAAATTAATTCATTAAAAATCCTACAATGTTATTTTCTGGAGAAAAAAATTCTCAATTTGTCTGTCATAGTTGACGTGTACCTATGATGAAAATTACAGGCCTCTCTCATCTTTTTAAGTGGGAGAACTTGCACAATTGGTGGCTGACTAAATACTTTTTTTCCCCACTGTAGGTAAACTGGGATATGACTAAAGAGTTAATAAGGGTGATTTTTCCACAAATAGACAGGTATTTTCCTTTCCATGGTAGCAAGATATCTATTTTTGCTAACTTTCTATTAAAATGTATTGTAGTGAGAATTTTTTTTATTTCGAGATATGAATACTGAGTGTGTCCACTTCACCTTCAGACCATTTTATTGGTAAACTACACGGTAATGTAAAATCTGTATGTTTTAGTGTTCCAATATGTAATATAGTCCACTTTGGTTGTAATCCAGAGAGGTTAGAAAAATCATCTAATTTAGATCCTCTAGAGGGAGGTTGCAGGGAGACTGTTACTTGTTAGGATACCATACCATTATGTCACCAAGCCCTCTCTCACCGTAACTATGATATTGAGGCACAACATGATGCAACATTGATTAGGTGTGTGTTCTCACCTTGCAGCCCTCACAGGCATGTACCCCATAGTGGAATCCAGATGCAATGTCTCCACACACCTTACACAGCAGCACCAAGCCATTGATTTCTGAAAAAACATCTCATCAGCACCAACTGAGGAAATACCTCTTTCAAGTAAATTCAATAGACTGTATTCATCCCCAAAGCCAAGGGACAATTACTGCAAGCAAATAGTAACTGAATAGACATTCAAGTTATTGCACAGCAGAGAAACCACTCACTAGTAATGTCGCATTTTGCAGTGGAGGCCGAGCGTCCAGTCTTCGCAATAGTGTGGGCCAGCGGGAGGGTGAGACCTGCCATGGTTAGGGACGTGTTCACCACATTGCCCTGGCGACAGCTGTGGGAGGAGTTGTAGCTGCAGTCATTTGAGTCACTATGACATGACTCGGGGCTGGAGGAGCTGATGTACGCTATTACACCCCCTAGTGGAGAGAGAGAGAGAGACATGATGATGAGGCTAATAGTTTCACAGAATTAAATCTCAATGGCTAGGGCTGTCTACTGGGGTAGCAGAGGTTCAAGTTACACAAAGAACAATGCATTTACATGACCTTATAAATAGAGTGAGTGTTTGAAAGAAATTTGAATTAATGTTGTTTCGGAAAACATTTTTGCATACCGAAAGATCTGGAAATCGTACAGTCCAAAAACGATTAAACTTATTCCAAAACAAAAAAAATCTTAGCATTGAATTATTCCATATTTAAATAGTGCTGCCCCTATTGACTACAACTATCAGAACTGCCCCCACTCCAAACTACCTTTAACAACCTCTAGTTTCAAAGCACTCTGTTTCCCTGATTCACATGTTGCAATCAAGTGACACTGACGTCGCCTTTTTCTCCTATGGAAACCAAATCTGATCCTGATTGGACCATAGCATAGAGAGGCTGGCTTATACTCGTAGCCTAGTGCCTACCCATAATTCCCTGGTGCCGCAGAGTAGCTCTGAGCCAGGAAGAGGCTGACCACCCGCCCAGTCAAACAGCTCTGTTTTTTCAGCTCAGGCTGACCTGCTTTCTCTCCCTCCATTCTGGTTAGATAACGCCCCTGTTACATAATGTAGGTTTCAGCAGGGTGTGTGGAGAACAGCCTGGATACACTGCAACTCACACACATACGGCTCAAGATGGACGCTCATCATCATTCAATCAAATCAAGAGGCCGGGCCAACATTTACGGATTAATGCCTGCCAAATGTTGTATGTTGTCTAATGGAAGTATAACCTATTGTGATGTGTTCATGAGTTGGTCGTCTGTAAATTCCTTGTTGCTCGAACTTCATTACAGAAGAAGTTTAAGCAAAATCCTAAAATAATCTCAAAAGGCACAACTGCCCTATTTTCAACATTCTTAAAAAGCATAAGAAACCCATAGCAATCCAGATAAGGGTCACTTACATAATGGATAGATGATTAGGTGGTCCTCTGTAGCTCAGCTGGTAGAGCACAGCGCTTGTAACGCCAAGGTAGTGGGTTCGATCCCCGGGACCACCAATACACAAATATGTATGCACGCATGACTAAGTCACTTTGGATAAAAGCGTCTGCTAAATGGCATATTATTATATTATTATTATTATTATTAGGTTGTGTAACTCTTCGCCTAATTATCAATTATAATTTTACTTGACTCACTGATGACGTTACTTTTTGGAAGCCACCCCCACGAGGAACAGGCATGTTTTCTCGAGATACCCAGTGGTAGAAAACTGCTGCAAACCCTATAACTGCATGCAGTTTCACGTGTATCCACACCAGCTCGCAGGGCAGGATCTTGGGCAAAATTATGCAATGTTTACTTCACAGCGCTTCTCCACCAACCAGAGGATGCTAGGGGAGCGTTTAAATACAAAAGTATAGACGTCACAGCGAACCTCAACCACAGAGAGAGCGTATACAGTCGCACATGGCTAGCGACAGGTCCATGTGAGAAAAGGGACCTGCAACACTCTTCCAGCCTACTGATTCTGAAATAACAACACCCTCAATGACACTCCTAACCCACTTTAACCCAGTTTGAATTAAGGCTGATTACAGTAAGAAAGATCGGACATTTGAGCAGTTTACTTTACTGCAAGCCATTTGCTTATGTTTTGATTCAGAACATCACGCAACCCTTTTAAATCAGGATACTGACAAGTAAGTTTAATCTAGGTTACATAAACAAATGGAATACACTATCAAGATGCAATGTCACAAACAGTTATTCTGTAGACACTAAAATAGGCTATAGGCCTACACATACATATTTATACATGAATTGAGCAGAATATTATCATTTTACCTGATTTTGTAGATCCCATGTCCTCTGAATTAAATCCCCTTCTTGCAACCTGAAGTCTGATGACGTGTTAGCTTGTTTTCAGCAACTCTTTAGGTCGCTGGTTGATACTACTGATCAATGAATTGAAGCATTCAGAAAGTTGTCAGCAAACGCAAGTAGGCCTACTAGTTTCACAGATGACATCTATAGCTCAACAGCAACTGTTGCCAATCAGACTGATTTCGCACCGTGATATTTTACGATCACCACCTGTCCAAACAATTCACATAAACTAAAATGTATCAGTTTTGTTTAAAAAACGCCCCGAATCAAACCATAGATTGTAGCCAATTTTGTCGCTTCAGAATGAATCGAACGTTGGGAATTCCGTATCTTTTTAATTTCGTAGAGCGCTCCAAAAAGCTGTCCGTCGGATGTCTCTTTTCTGCAAGCCCTAAGCCTATATATAGCTAGAGCGTAAAAATATGTATTTTCTTCAAGGAAACGATAGCAAAGCGTAGAAAGTTATCCTCTGTCAGAGAGATTCGCTGGATGACTGTTCCGAGTAGAGCTCTCGACTCAAGCTGCTATGCCACCATTTGACCCATTTCAGCGGCTCCTCCTACCCTAGTCTAGCGCTGGTGTCAATGGGCAAGTTCGTTTTGCATGGCTCGGTTCCCCAGGTGCGTGACGATTTCGCTTAAGGACCAATGGAATGGTCTAAAATATACAGACTCCTCTCACCCGGGCACCGGACCATGCAAAACGAACTAGCCCAATGTAACCCACTGACACACTTTTTACAGTTCAAGGTGGGGGGATGGTGGAAGCAAGGGCACTAAAGGACAGCATCACCCCCATGTGAGCATCCCACCTAAAAATTGGAGGACAGTGGACTGGAGGCTGGTGGAGGGAGAAATGAGGAGGAGGGGCTCTTGGGGTTTCACATGGAGTGAATTCATAAAGAAAAGTAGTGTCTATTGACACAGAAGCAAAGAGTGCATATTTAAAAATACTATCCATCTTGTCTCAATGCCACTGTTAGCAATGCACATCCTTGACAAGTTCTCAGACACAAAGCAGTGTGAGGATTTATTGCTGATAGGTTCCAACGTTTCAGAAATGGATTGGGATTTATTTTATTGTTTGTCTATAGTATAGCATCAAAAAACATAACATTTCTCCAACATATTGAATGCACTGAAGCATAAAATCAGAAATGATTATGACAAGATTTTTCCCACATATATTGAGCTCTCCGGATTTTAAGAATGTGATAAATACATCAAGCAGTTTAAAATGTCCACACATGATTAAAATAATATATATTCTAAATGGCATATAGTACCAGTCAAAAGTTTGGACACACCTACTCATTCAAGGGTTTTTCTTTATTTTTACATTGTAGAATAATAGTGAAGACATCAAAACTATGAAATAACACATATGGAATCATGTAGTAACCAAAAGAGTGTTAAACAAATCAAAATTTGAGATTCCTTGAAGTAGCCACCCTTTGCCTTGATGACAGCTTTGCACACTCTTGGCATTCTCTCAACCAGCTTCACCTGGAATGCTTTTCCAATTGTCTCTCCTTCTTGGTCAAATAGCCCTTACACAGCCTGGAGGTGTGTTGGGTCATTGTCCTGTTGAAAAACAAGTGATAGTCCCACTAAGCGCAAACCAGATGGGATGGCGTATCGCTGCAGAATGCTGTGGCTAAGGAGGGATTTGCTGCCGTTTTATGGGCTCTTAACCAACTGTGCTATTTTGTTAGTTTCTTCGCATTATTTGTAACTTATTTTGTACATAATGTTGCTGCTACCGTCTCTTATGACCGAAAATAGCTTTTGGACATCAGAACAGCGATTACTCACCTTGAACTGGACAAATCATTTTTCTTTAACGAGTCGGACGAAAGGGATTTGCTCCAGACACCCGACAGGGCCCTCATCCCGGTCATTCGCAGTAGAAAGAGACAGAGATATCGCGGAAGGAGATCGGGGTGCCTGGTAAGGAGCCGGCGACTTGTGGCTAATCTGCCTTTGCCATCGGTACTATTGGCCAATGTACAATCGCTTGATAATAAAGAGGACGAACTACAAGCACGTATATCCTACCAATGGGACATTAAAAACTGTAAAATCTTATGTTTCACAGAGTCGTGGCTAAACGACGACATGAATAACATACAACTGGCGGGTTATAAACTGTATCGGCAGGATAGAACAGCAGCCTCTGGTAAGACAAGGGGTGGATGTATATTTGTAAACAACAGCTGGTGCACGATATCTAAGTCTCTAGGTTTTCCTCGCCTGAGGTAGAGTATCTCATGATAAGCTGTAGACCACACTATCTACCAAGAGAGTTTTCATCTACTATATTCTTCGTAGCTGTCTATTTACCACCACAAACCGATGCTGGCACTTAGACCGCACTCAATGAGCTGTTTACGACCATAAGCAAACAGGAAAACGCTCATCCAGAGGCGGCGCTCCTAGTAGCCGGGGACTTTAATGCAGGGAAACTTAAATCCGTTTTACCTCATTTATACCAGCATGTTAAATGTGCAACCAGAGGGGAAAAAAACTCTAGACCACCTTTACTCCACACAAAGAGACGCGTACAAATGCTTACAAGCAAAAACTAAAGCAGGAAGCACCAGTGACTCGGTCAATAAAAAAGTGGTCAGATGAAGCAGATGCTAAGCTACAGGACTGTTTTGCTAGCACAGACTGGAATATGTTCTGGGATTCTTCCGATGGCATTGAGGAGTACACCACATCAGTCACTGGCTTCATCGATAACGTCGTCCCCACAGTGACTGTACAGTTGAAGTCGGAAGTTTACATACACTTAGGTTGGAGTCATTAAAACTCGTTTTTCAACCACTCCACAAATGTCTTGTTAACAAACTATAGTTTTGGCAAGTCGGTTAGGACATCTACTTTGTGCATGACACAAGTCATTTTTCCAACAATTGGTTACAGACAGATTATTTACATTTACATTTAAGTCATTTAGCAGATGCTCTTATCCAGAGCTACTTACAAATTGGTGCATTCAATTTAGGATAGCCAGTGGGACAACCACATCTTGATCACAGTAAGTACACTTCTTCAAACAAGCAGCTGTGAGCAAAGTCAGTGCAATCAGGGACAACTACATCTCGATCACAATAAGTACATTTCTTTAACCCTCCCGTTGTCTTAGGGTCAAAATGACCCGCCACTGTGTTGAACCAACTTTATTTAATTTTTATATTTTTGGGATCATTTGTGAGAAGGAGGCAGTGAGACTTTAAAGAAAGTATCACTGCCTCCTTCTCACAAATGATCCAAAAAATATATAAATAAAGTTGGTTCAACACAGTGGCGGGTCATTTTGACCCTAGGACAACGGGAGGGTTAAACAAGTCAGTGCTAGCAGGTGAAATAAGTCAGGTGTTAGTTTAGACAAAAGACAGTGGTAGTAAAGGGGGGGGGGGGGGGATTACTATTATACTATTCCAGGTATTCCTTAAAGAGGAATAATTCACTGTATCACAATTCCAGTGGGTCAGAAGTTTACATACACTAAGTTGACTGTGTCTTTAAACAACTTGGAAAATTCCAGAAAACGATGTCATGGCTTTAGAAGCTTCTGATAGGCTAATTGACATAATTTGAGTCAATTGGAGGTGTACCTGTGGATGTATTTCAAGGCCTACCTTCAAACTCAGTGCCTCTTTGCTTGACATCATGGGAAAATCAAAAGAAATCAGCCAA